TTTCAAAATGGGATGTGTCGGTTGTATTTTAACATTGTATAAAAGAAGTTGAAAAAACAGGCTGTAAGCTGAATGGTTCCTCTAACTCTCTTGCAACGCGAAACAAAAAGTAAAACATTTTTATATGATACCAGGAGAGATCTATGACACGTGTTCCATCAACGCCTTGAGAAAGACCTAATTATTATTACGCCAATAGAACAGGGTTATAGGATCCCGAGAATCTGAATCACTAATGAACATACAAATGAATTTTAACGTAAACAAAAACTCTTTAAAGCCATTTTGATAAGGGACAATAAACCAGAAGGGTGTGACATGACGTCACATTTAATACCTTAATTATGACGTCATAGAAATAATATTTGTGACGTCATATACTGACAATATATACATATATATAATGAAAATATCAACAGATCAGTGTCCGGTTCAATATATGAGAATAATAATCATGTGTTAATCTTTAGACGCTTTACATCGTGTACTGTCAGGCTTACATGGTTGCCTACATGGTTACAATCTATGACATCATCAACGACTTGATTATACATTGTGACGTCATATATATATATTGCTGGATTGATATGCCTCGATGAAGAAAGTAAAATCCAACCCATTCCCGTTTAAGGAAGTGTGCTTTTGATCTGAGTGAACATATATAATGATGCCACGTTTTATTCCTTAGTTTTACAGGTTGGTTGTTTGGTTGACAGGTTTTCGCTCTCTGTGAGTCCTCCCGTTTCCGGATATCGTCTCACTAATGAACGTCAGTATTCTAGTGAAATACCGATGAGAAACGACCTGAATCCCCCGCAGTAATGTGTTTAAACGTGGAATGAGTTCACACGTAAACCAACTGTTTTCTATGCCAATGAAAAATACCGGTATAATACAGACAATTCAAACACGTAATCTGATAAAACGCTGACATTCCCAAAAGCATCACCGCGTCAATATCTTCGATAGTTTTCTCATAAAAACAGAACCAGGCGGTGCCAAATTTCATGTGAAATAGGACTAGACCTGTCTGTCGCAACACAGTTGCTTTGGACAAATAAAACATATGAGATATACAGTTGTATATAGGAGCTCCACTGCAGAGAAATTACAAGAGTGTAACGTAATTTCTAAAATTTCGGTAAACATTGATTTAAGACACGTGCATTTCTCAAGCTCAACCTCTAATTTACTGATAATCTTAGCTATTAATTAATTCGTAGCCGATTGTTTCCTGTCAATTACTTTCCTCAACGTAAATATTAATGTGATGATGTCTTACCAGAAACCTAATCGTGACTGTGTTATCAGAAACATAAATGTGATACTGTTATATCAAAAACATAAATGTGACACTGTGTTATCAGAAACATAATTTAGGCTGTCTTATCAGGAACATAAATGTAGCACTCTCTGATTAGGAACATAAATGTGACACTGTTTTATAAGGAACATGTGACATTGCCTCTTCTAGAAGATAAAGTGACATAGTCTCAACATAAACATAAATTTGACACCAACATACCATTTGGCTGCGACTGGTTTAGATATGAGGTCTGTGACCTGGAGTAATCTGTCCCAGTAAATTCTACAGTGCTGTGAAAAACCAATCTGGTTCTCCTGGCAGATTTAGAAACAATCATACATGAGTGTTGACGATGACGCCGACAAGTGATCATGTGGCAGGGCTCCGGAGGCTGGACGCGGCACGAGCACCTATATAATGATAAAGAAACTCATCTAGTGACGACGGCTGGTCCCGCGAGGTCGAACCATCATCTGCTCACTAACACGGCTAGTCGAATTAGACACCTAAATCCGAGTCTAGCAACAAAATCTGCTATTTCAAATTGTATCTGTTTTTATGAAATTATTCATTATGATAGATTGCTTTGCCATGACAACGGTTACGGAATATATTACATGTGATGGGAGTTTCTCCCATTCACACTCCAGAAAACGATCACTAGGCAAAAGCTAGATTAACAGATATTTTTGGATTGGGTGTAAAATGGGGTACACTACATAGTTTTAGCTGATGTAATAATAACCTAGATAAGTGTTCGCTAAAACAGGGACGGATAACCTTAGAAAAGGGAAATAACTCAATACAATATGGAAAGGGGGAATAACTCGATACAATATGGAAAGGAAAATAACTCGATACAATATTTAAAGGGGGAATAACTCGATACAATAATGGAAAGGAAAATAACTCGATACAATATAGAAAGGGGGAATAACTCGATACAATATTTAAAGGGGGAATAACTCGATACAATATGGAAAGGGGGAATAACTCGATACAATATGGAAAGGGGGAATAACTCGATACAATATGGAAAGGGGGAATAACTCGATACAATATGGAAAGGGGGAATAACTCGATACAATATGGAAAGGGAGAATAACTTGATACAATACGGAAAGGAGGAATAACTCGATACATAATGGAAAGGGAGAATAACTCGATACAATATGGAAAAGGGGAATAACTCGATACTGTACGGAAAGGGGTAATAACTCGATACAATATGGAAAGTGGGAATAACTCGATACAATATTTAAAGTGGGAATAACTCGATACAATATGGAAAGGGGGAATAACTCGATACAATATGAAAAGGGTGAATAACTTGATACAATAAGGAAAGAAGGAACTAACTATTATTTGACAATTTAAACGTCAGGAATTATCGAGATATAATCGAGTGCCTGAGCATGACTTAGGCTGCACTATTCTACAGTAAGGTATGCCTAACTTTTAGTTGTGAGCGACTCGGCCGCTTCAGCTCCTTATGTCACTAAATTAAAACCTTCCAAAACACCCCCCGTAAACGTCATGTCAGCATTTTCATCAATTTGTTTAAACCTTTAATTGGCCTCCCTAAAATCCCATGTTTATCAATGTGTTTTCATTTCCTAAATGCGATATTCGACAGCTTCACGTGGCTTGCTTGAGATATAACCAAATTACGCATTTTTATTGCTTTACGATGCAACCAGACCTTAAGAACACTTTCAAAAGTTCTTCATCATAGAAATTTTATTTCCTACTCATTGAACGTGCAAGTAGAATTTTAGAATAACAATTTAGTCGCGTTTTGCAACTACTTTATAAATGTATTTTCTATAATGCAAGGTGCAATATACAAAAGGAAAATATCAGCATTTGAACAGAATAATAATCCAAACTTAAATTCCGTTCAACTAGGATAAAGTATGAACAAAAGGATGATTTACACGTAGACTCACGAAAAAGTACAAGGAGAACAAGACCGGGTGTTCCGGAAGAGTAAGCGTATTCTGCTTCATCGACGACTACCGCAGAATAAAAATCGGTCAATCCAAGAAAGTAAAGTCAGATTCTTAAATGAAAAGGTTTAAAAACCATAGGAACCAACAGGCAAGCTAACGAACATAAAATACTGATAAAGGGAAAAGGCTAAGAGCTCTTCCGTATGTGTGCACACTGTTATAAAGTGACACTGTATTTTACAGCAGGGTCAAATTGAAAGTGCAGTCAAGTGGCAGGGCTTTTTAATGGTTAATATTAGGATCGACAGTCGGGTTTGTTGCTTTCTTGGACTGATGAAAGGAAATGAACCCCGTGTAAATGTCGCATGAATTGCCTCGCAGTTCACTTCACTAGTTCATGTAAGTAACAAAATAGACAATCAATCTATTTATTAATGTGACGTGAACACGTGTTTTCTTCCCCGCTGCCATTCAAAAGAAAAAAAATATCCCCAGGTCCGCCACTCAAGAGAATAAGTTTTCTTCCCGACTGCCATTCAAAGGAAAAAAGTATTCCCAGGTCCGCCACTCAAGAGAATAAATTGAGAACAGTTTATTTATATTTCTTTCTAGTTTAGGATCAGACTGTTTATTTACCTCAAATTTGTTAATGTAATCTAAATATACAATAATTTCATTTCCTGTTTTTCACCATGTTATATTTTGTCCGGTCTCAAATATAAATCATTGTCAGAGATTAACGTATCCTGTAAAACTGAAACAAAAAATGAATAGATATGACACCACATCACAGTCGATGGTGCGAATTCTAAGAAAATATTCAAAATTGACCTATAGCGATTTTTTTTTTAGCAAATTTATCTTATGATATTCATAAGCAATAGAGACAAAGCATGTACAGTGCACATATAGCATTTAATTCTTTCCGACTAGGACATGTGATTTCAGTCATTGCCCGATTTAAGGAAATGACAGTGTTACCCTTGTATTGTAAAATCTATCAAATGTTTATTAAATTGAGTTTTTTTTCTAATCTATAGTAAAGCATTTCTAACGGAATCGTTATCTGCCGATACCAAGATCACTGGTTATTGTCAACCTTCCGCTTTAAACTAAACGCCAAACAACACTAAAATATTTGTATTCGCGTATGAGAAGGTGGCAGACGAGCACTGTGCTGTGTCTCGTCAGCGGGCTAGCCAGCAGCCGAAGCAGCCATGGTCTGCCTTAATAACCGTCTGTAGAATTCATTCGTACAGCAAACGAGAGTATTGAATAAATGAAAACTTCATCTAAGAGCAAACACGGACAGTGGTCAATGTTTCACATGTGGTCCAGAAATCTCACTGTTATTGGACTGGCCAGTTGACGTTAGACCCTGGTTCTGCGCGCTGCTGCTACATTCAATATGGTAAACGTCACACAAACCCATATTGTGCATTAATCATTTTGGCAGCACAGGGTGTAGATGTCCCGCTGTGAACATGTACGCGTTCCTATTGCAGGGATGCAGGATCGCAAACGGGAGTTCTACTCTATGATCGAAGACAATTATTTGAAAAACGCTCAATCGGGGACAAGAGTTCGGTGACGTGCGCGATCGAAGACAGGAGTTCGGCAACATATGATCGAAGACACGTGTTAGGCAATTAACAAGGTTCCACTGGCATTGATTGTGTTTCCATAATTGTGTTTACGGTCGTGTGGCGTGGACTAGTGTTTGGAGAATTCGGCAGGATATGTAATCTTCTACGAACTCATAGAAATATATAGCATTTCCGTCACTGTGATACATCTGTGTGAAATAGTGCCTTCTAAATGGAATAACCTCTCGCGTAGCAAACCTTCCCCTCTCCAGGGTTCGTCCTCGTATCTTTATAGCAACAGGTATGTATACAGGCATGAACAACGACAAATGTTTAAGTTCTGTCAATCAAACTGTGTTTATATTAATTACCAAAAAATACCATCTCTAAAAAAAAGGTGACATTACGTACATTTTACAAAGCAAATACACTGATATTAGATACATGTACACCTTACACAGTAGATACACCAAATACTAGATATATGTACACCTTACAAAGTAGATATACAAAATAATAGACATATGTACACCTTACACCGTAGTTACACCAAATACTAGATATATGTACACCTTACACAGTATATATACCAAATACTAGATATGTGTAAGTCCTCCACAGTAGTTACACCAAATACTAGATATATGTACACCTTACACAGTAGATACACCAAATACTAGATATATGTACACCTTACACAGTATATACACCAAATACTAGATATATGTACACCTTACACAGTATATATACCAAATACTAGATATATGTACACCTTACACGGTAGATACACCAAATACTAGATATATGTACACCTTACACAGTAGATACACCAAATACTAGATATATGTACACTTTATACAGTAGATATACCAAATACTAGATATAAGTACACCTTACACAGTAGATACACCAAATACTAGAGTTATGTACACCTTACACAGTATATATACCAAATACTAGATATACTTACACCTTACACAGTAGTTACACCAAATACTAGATCTTTGTACACCTTACACAGTAGATACACCAAATACTACATATATGTACACCTTACACAGTATATATACCAAATACTAGATATATGTACACCTTACACGGTAGATACACCAAATACTAGATATATGTACACCTTACACAGTATATATACCAAATACTAGATATATGTACACCTTACACGGTAGATACACCAAATACTAGATATACTTACACCTTACACAGTAGTTACACCAAATACTAGATCTTTGTACACCTTACACAGTAGATACACCAAATACTAGATATATGTACACCTTACACAGTATATATACCAAATACTAGATATATGTACACCTTACACAGTAGATACACCTAATAGTAGATCTTTGTACACCTTACACAGTAGATACACCAAATACTAGATATATGTACACCTTACACAGTATATATACCAAATACTAGATATATGTACACCTTACACGGTAGATACACCAAATACTAGATATATGTACACCTTACACAGTATATATACCAAACACTAGATAGATGTACACCTTACACAGTAGATATACCAAATACTAGATATATGTACACCTTACACGGTAGATACACCAAATACTAGATATATGTACACCTTACACAGTATATATACCAAACACTAGATAGATGTACACCTTACACAGTAGATATACCAAATACTAGATATATGTACACCTAACACAGTAGATAAACCAAATACTATATATATATGTACAACTTACACAGTAGATATACCAAAAACTAGATAAGTGTACACCTTACACAGTAGATACACAAAATACTAGATATACTTACATCTTACACAGTAGTTACACCAAATACTAGATCTTTGTACACCTTACACAGTAGATACACAAAATACTAGATATACTTACACCTTACACAGTATATATACCAAATACTAGATATATGTACACCTTACACGGTAGATACACCAAATACTGGATATATGTACACCTTACACAGTAGATACACCAAATACTACATATATGTACACTTTATACAGTAGATATACCAAATACTAGATATATGTACACCTTACACGGTAGATACACCAAATACTAGATATATGTACACCTTACACAGTATATATACCAAATACTAGATATATGTACACCTTACACGGTAGATACACCAAATACTAGATATATGTACACCTTACACAGTAGTTACACCAAATACTAGATCTTTGTACACCTTACACAGTAGATACACCAAATACTAGATATATGTACACCTTACACAGTATATATACCAAATACTAGATATATGTACACCTTACACAGTAGATACACCTAATAGTAGATCTTTGTACACCTTACACAGTAGATACACCAAATACTAGATATATGTACACCTTACACAGTATATATACCAAATACTAGATATATGTACACCTTACATGGTAGATACACCAAATACTAGATATATGTACACCTTACACAGTATATATACCAAACACTAGATAGATGTACACCTTACACAGTAGATATACCAAATACTAGATATATGTACACCTTACACAGTATATATACCAAACACTAGATAGATGTACACCTTACACAGTAGATATACCAAATACTAGATATATGTACACCTTACACAGTAGATACACCAAATACTAGATATATGTACACCTTACACAGTATATATACCAAACACGAGATAGATGTACACCTTACACAGTAGATACACCTAATAGTAGATAGATGTACACCTTACACAGTAGATACACCAAATACTAGATATATGTATACCTTACACAGTAGATATCCCAAATACTAGATATACGTACACCTAACACAGTAGTTACACCAAATACTAGATATATGTACACCTTACACAGTAGATACACAAAATACTAGATATATGTACACCTTACACAGTAGATATACCAAATACTAGATATATATACACATAGCACAGTATATATACCAAATACTAGATATATGTACACCATACACAGTTACACAGTAGACACACCAAATACTAGATATATATACACCTTACACAGTAGATACAAAAAATACTAGATATATGTTCACCTTACACAGTAGATATACCAAATACTAGATATAAGTACACCTTACACCGGAGATACACCTAATAGTAGATATATGTACACCTGACACAGTAGATACCCCAAACACTAGATAGATGTACACCTTACACAGTAGATACACCTAATAGTAGATATATGTACACCTTACACAGTAGAAACACGAAATACTATATATATATATATGTACAACTTACACAGTAGATATACCAAAAACTAGATAAGTGTACACCTTACACAGTAGATATACCAAATACTATATATATGTACAAATACTATATATATATGTACAACTTACACAGTAGATATACCAAAAACTAGATAAGTGTACACCTTACACAGTAGATACACAAAATACTAGATATACTTACATCTTACACAGTAGATACACAAAATACTAGATAAGTGTACACCTTACACAATAGATACACAAAATACTAGATATACTTACACCTTACACAGTATATATACCAAATACTAGATATATGTACACCTTACACGGTAGATACACCAAATACTAGATATATGTACACCTTACACAGTAGATACACCAAATACTACATATATGTACACTTTATACAGTAGATATACCAAATACTAGATATATGTACACCTTACACAGTAGATACACCAAATACTAGATATATGTACACTTTACACAGTAGATACACCAAATACTAGATATATGTACACCTTACACAGTAGATACACCAAATACTAGATAAATGTACACTTTACACAGTAGATACACCAAATACTAGATATATGTACACTTTACACAGTAGATACACCAAATACTAGATATATGTACACTACACCTTACACAGTATATATACCAAATACTAGATATATGTACACCTTACACAGTAGATACACCTAATAGTAGATCTTTGTACACCTTACACAGTAGATACACCAAATACTAGATATATGTACACCTTACACAGTATATATATCAAATACTAGATATATGTACACCTTACACGGTAGATACACCAAATACTAGATATATGTACACCTTACACAGTATATATACCAAACACTAGATAGATGTACACCTTACACAGTAGATATACCAAATACTAGATATATGTACACCATACACAGTTACACAGTAGATACACCAAATACTAGATATATATACACCTTACACAGTAGATACAAAAAATACTAGATATATGTTCACCTTACACAGTAGATATACCAAATACTAGATATATGTACACATAGCACAGTACATACACCAACTACTAGATATAAGTACACCTTACACGGGAGATACACCTAATAGTAGATATATGTACACCTTACACAGTAGATACCCCAAACACTAGATAGATGTACACCTTACACAGTAGATACACCTAATAGTAGATATATGTACACCTTACACAGTAGAAACACGAAATACTATATATATATGTACAACTTACACAGTAGATATACCAAATACTAGATATATGTACACCTAACACAGTAGATATACCAAATACTATATATATATATATATATATGTACAACTTACACAGTAGATATACCAAAAACTAGATAAGTGTACACCTTACACAGTAGATACACAAAATACTAGATATACTTACATCTTACACAGTAGATATAACAAATACTAGATATATGTACACATAACACAGCACAAACACCAAATACTAGATATATGTATACCTTACACAGTAGATATCCCAAATACTAGATATATGTATACCTTACACAGTAGATATCCCAAATACTAGATATATGTACACCTTACACAGTAGATACACCAAATACTAGATATATGTACACTTTACACAGTAGATACACCAAATACTAGATATATGTAGACCAAACACAGTAGTTACACCAAATACTAGATAGCTAACACCTGTCTATATCTACCACCTGTCTATAGCTAACACCTGTCTGTATCTATACCACCTGTCTATAGCTAACACCTGTCTATAGCAAACACCTGTCTGTATCTATACCACCTGTCTATATCTACCACCTGTCTATAGGTAACACCTGTCTGTATCTGTACCACCTTTCTATATCTACCACCTGTCCATATCTAAGACACCTGTCTATAGCTAACACCTGTGTATACCTACCACCTGTCTGTATCTACCACCTGTCTATATCTAACACCTGTCTATATCTACCACCTGTCTGTATCTACCACCTGTCTATATCTACCACCTGTCTATATCTACCACCTGTCTGTATCTATC